TGTTAAAAATAGAATAGATAGGGATTTTAGTTGAAAAATGCATCTAGTCCATATTTTATAATATTACATGATTGATATATTTTATTTTTGTTTCAGGACATCGTTGGATTTGCTAACATCAGTCCGTTTTAATTTTCGCGTATTTGAACGCCTAAAATGGCTATTATATTTTTTACATATTTATTTGCATCCCTGAAGGTAAGCTAAAAATTTCAAAAAAATACTATCATGATTATTTTATTAACATTTGAAACGGATAACAGATCATATACTAATGAGATTGCACCGAACATTCTTTTTATAATTCATATTTCTAAAAGATTCGCTATAAATTAAATAAATGTTGAAGCATTTTTTAAATTAACTAATTAAATATAAAAATTATATAATAATATCATGTATAATCATACGTTATTCTGTTATAGGTTTTCATCACTTTCACCAGAAGAAAACTTTGGTTTGCTTTTTATTTTTTATATACATAACTAAACAATATACAATAAAATTGCATTCGTTCATATACCAATGTAAATTTTATTCCTCGTATTTTTAATTCATTATATAAAACTAATTTTAATTTTGCAGGTTTTCTCGTAAGGTATATTTGTGTCCAAATAAAGAAAATTAAAATTTAATAAGGGATATATAAAATTAGAACACTAAGAGATAATGTTGCTTTTTAATTATTAGAAAATATTTACCTATAATTGTGTGATAAAGTATGTCAGTGACTGCTTAAGAAATTAATTTATTTTATAACGCGTTAGTAGATAAGGCATGTTTGGGTTTTGGATGCTTATGCAACTTTGGTGCTTATTGCCGATTGCTTTTTCGCAAAAATATTTAATTTTAAGGATATGACAGTGCGGTCGGCTGTCCTGTGCTGCGTAATAATTAAATTAATTGAAGAAGAATGGATACTTTTAAATATTTTACTTGATTAATAAATAAGTTATGTATTATTTATAGAAAGCTCTTTACATAAAGCAACATTTATTGACGAATTAAGCAAATATTTCTAATTAATACTTTCTTGTCTTTCGTATATTTTTACCTTAAACTTTTAATTAGTGAATTTAACAATTTTTTGTTAAATTGTGCAAATTTTAGTATCAACTTAATCATTATAAAATATATTTTGTGCATTTCCGGGATGTATAAAATATATACAAAAAAAATGTGTTCTCTTCTCTTAATAAAATGTTCTTATAATAAAATCCATTCTTCTTTTCGGGTAGGATAGAGAAAGATCACGGTTGATGCATCTTAGATCAACTATCGACCAAGTTGAAAAAAGATTCATTAAACGTGATTAATTGATTTGTTGATAATAGCCCGTGGATCTCCGTGTACAGCAACCTCCACGCGGTGAGATCCGGATAATCTGGTATTATTTTCGATATGTTAAATGATGTAACGTAAATACTACCGAGCTAATGGCTGTACATTTCGATGCGTTTCAACAAAATTATTTGATTTTTATATATTATTACAATATTATATTTATTATTTACATTTTCTTTGAGAAACGCATCGGAAATCTTAATATCGAATTTGAAATAAATTAAATTTCCTAATTTCTATAATTTCCTTTAATTATAAAATTAAAAATTTACGTTTTCTATCAGTTTCTTAAATGGTCAAATATGGTATAGCTTATTATCATCAATATTAACAGAAAATATAAAAGTATAATCATGGAAAAGTATTAATTATATGGGCAATAGGTAATTATCTTCTCAACCCGTATTTATTTGCGTTCTCAATTCGATTCTTATCCTTTTTCTTATGTCTGTTCGAAGAATTTTATTTTTGCTACGTAATTCAATAAATTTATTTTATTATCGGTATTCCAAAAATGAAGAATATATAGTCGACTACTCGATGATTGTTTATTTAATCAAATATAAATTATTATTCGACGAAAAAGCAAAAGAGCAGATAAATACAATCCACTTTGATACGAGAGCCTATCATTTTAATATGTTGTACTTTTACCCGTATAGAAAGTTGACCTAAATTCTTTTAAAAATTAAAAAGTTTCCATAATAATATCGAGATCCATGCTCGCGTATAATACGAAAGAGCAATAAATTATTTTAACAATAGATGTAGCTATAATTTTTTGTAGTGAATCGTGTCAAATTTTTAATTAAAATTATTTATTCGCATATGTAATTATATCTAAATTAAATAAAAATAAAAATTAACTTGTGGAAAAAAATTAATTTAAAATAAATTAAAGCAGTAATTGATAAAGAATTTTTTAAAAAATAGTTATCGGTTTTGATTGTTCGAAATTAAATGAAATCTTGTAAATTTTTTGTTAAATATAAGAATAATTTTTGTTATCAGTTCAACTACGAATATATTCTTGAATCTTTCTTCAACAAATATCATTTTTTCTCAATGAACGAACGAATATGAAGAAGATAGGAAGGAAACCTAAACGAGATGCAATCCGACGTGTTAACTTTATAATCAATATTCATGAGTCTCGTTTGTTGGCTCTTCGAGTTACGATCGAATTCTTCATTTTTTTTCCTTTTCCCCCTTTTTTCTTTCTTTCTTTCTTTTTCATTTTACGGTGTAGAAATTTACATTCTGTCATTGGTCGAAACATCTCATGGTGTGATCGTAAAAAAGAAATTTTTCTCTAGTTTAAAAATAACCATACGAGAATCGTTTTATTAAATTTAATAATAGATGAAGGCTCAAAATAGCAACTAAAGTACATATTTTCTCTTTAACTTTATTTAGCTATGGATACAATTTCCTACTATTCCCAGTATTCGATAGATCAATAAGCAGTACGGTTTCATATTATTATGAAAGATATTGAGAAAGGAAATGTATAATTTATTTGCAAAATTAAAAATATTGAAACTTATAATATACATACATATATCTCGTTTAATAAAATATTAAATTACATATAAATAATTATCTCCCCAACGATATTTTATTTAAATATAATAATATTTACTGTACATTACTATCATGCATTTTATCTTGATAGATAAAAAGAATAAAAGATAAGCGAAATATAGGATCAATGTTTGGTATAACAACGTACCGGTTCCTTATCAAATCTACGACTTCAGTAAATTCATTTATTTTTTCTCTATCATTTATACCACTCCGTAAACAAGCTTCTCATTCACATGGATACATATGATGTGTAGGTGGTTTTGCATGAGCACTCTGCTATATTCGCCATCTCTACTGTTGTTGGAATCGTTTACCGTGAAGCTGTGCAAATAAAGCTCGCCACCCACACGAAGCTTTCCGAATAAAAGAAAGGGTGAGACGAGAGTTGTAGAGTCGAGAAGATTCGAAGAGTTGAAAAACAAAGGAAATATAAGTGAATGAGGAAAAGGAAAAAACAGAAAGAAAATAAACATACTACGGAATCATTTGTTCTTTTTTTTTTTTTTTTTTTTTTTTTTTTAATCCATCTATCGTCTTTAATAACTTATATTCTGAATATAAAAAGAACGAGATCTCTCGCAAAGAACGAATAACGTAAAAACAAAAAGAGAGAGAGAGAGAGAGGGAGAATGATACAAATAAAAAATGAGAAAACAGAAAAAAAAATACTACAACGAGTCGATCAAAGCCGAACGATCGCTAGATGGCATTGAATATTTACAGAATGACGACTATTCGACTTTCTCACGTTATCTGACTCGTCGGTGAAAATAAATTATTTACTTGTAACGCTCGCGCGTCACGCTTATATAAATTAAATTAAATAACGTTTCGATGATGCATCGCGAACGAACGAGGAATAATCATTAATGTTTCAACATTTTCTTTCATCGTCGCATTCGATACGTCGAAACGCTCGTCCCGTTGTTGCTACGATACGAGCCGTTTATTTTCATTCTATATATAATAATACATATAGGACGGATTTATAATTATTGCTTTTTATATTAATTTTGTATTTGTTGATCGTAAAAAAGAAAATATTTATCTTATAATAAGTAGTTAAATAACTACGTCATATAATAAGTGACAACATTTTATATTAAAATAAGTGAATAAAAAATTATTTCGTCCAGAGCAATAATTAATGATTCATCTCGTATATATGTATATATATTCGAGCAACATTTTGCCAACTTAAGCTGTGAAATATAATATCATCTTTTGAGAGTACAATAGAAGTATTGTTAATCAGATTTTTTTTTTAATTTTACATTTTTCATATCTACATATTTAAAATTAGAAAAATTGTTATGTCCGAATAACGGAGATTTTACTGTACATAAGAATTACTCTAGAATTCAGAAAAAAAAAAATCTGTATAAACTAAACTTTGTCCATTTATTATGGCGCTTCGTTGGCAATGAAGCATGATACGTGTCCTATCGATAATTCCTAAATAAACAATAATGCTTCTATGCGCAATCGTCGTAAAATAAATAACGATGAATTTGATTCGGCGTTCGTATATATATCCTCGTGAAAATACAAATTTAATTGTTATCAGTGGAAACGTGTCTCTTTCATGCCAAATGTTGGCGTTCATATGGAATATTCAATTGCATTCATATGAAAATATTTTCAAATTATCGACAATAGTAATCGTCATAAGGTCGCGTATGGTTACTTCTAAAAAGAAAGAAAAAAAAAAAAAAAAAAAAAAAACGAACTCTGCAAACGTATCAATGTTTACGGAGTTTTGACACGATGAATATAAAAATTCTATTCAACGAGAATAATCGCATATAAATCGAGTTCGGTGAAGCGCGAAATAATCAGTTTTATATATGCAAATAAAAACATTATTGCGAATAACTTTTCTCGAATATTTTAAGTACTTTAAAATATGCTCGAGATTGAATATCGTTCTTTGTAAATATCTAGATACGTTGGTAAATCGTGCATTTATATCGAAGCGTGGCAATGAAAATCATTTTCAATTTATTCTCCTGCTGTCAACAAGCTTTCCATTCGATAATTCCATTTTATCCGAGGCACATCGAATTTACCACTCTTTTCAATTTTCTTTCTTTTTCCGATCAAAGGAAAATAACGAGTTTTAAAAGAAAATCTCAAATTTCCATGCATCTACATTGCACGCCGATCTTTTGAGATTGAAAAGAAAAAAAAGAAAGAAAAAATTCTTCAGTCACTCTTCGATCGATATTCGAATAAGACGCGATTTCGAGGAAAATGACGTCGAGATGCACTTCTGATCGAAAGACGCCACATATCGTACAAATCGTAACTTCGTTGTGCATTACTATTACTGTTGATAAAACAGATAGTTCAGTTATCCAACGTTCTTTTCGCGATTTCTCAACATTGACGTCAGGTGGCATCTATGAACGTTTCCTCATCATTTTCACTTTCCCGGGAAATTCGAAATCAAAGCTACGAATTCTTATTCCGGAATTCAACCTTCGTCCTTCTTTTTCTAGTCCTCCTCGGAGCGCAGAATTCGTCCAGTTTGCGCTGACGATTCATAGAACTTACGCATCCGTACTTTTTAATTAGTCGGATTAGAATTGTAAGATTTGATTGATCCATTCGCGAAATTCGGAAATACGCGTGTAGACACCCGGTTGATTTGGTACGGCACAACCAATTCCCCAACTTATAATTCCCGCTAGTAACCATCGTTTGTCTCGTGCCCTTTGAATCACCATTGGGCCGCCACTATCGCCCTAAAACACGTAACGATTTTATATATCATTTATCAAATTCATACTGTTTTATTATAAATTGTATAGATAGTTAATATATTACTTCGCAGGAATCAAAACCACCATTTCTCCATCCTGCACAAATGAAGATATGTGGTATGTGCTCGATGTAACCAGCATTTCTGTACATAGCTTCGCATACCGTGTTATTTATAACCGGTACTGCAACCTCTTGTAAGATGGACGGCAGTGGTCCCTCTATAAATTGGATGATAAGAAAATTTAAAAAATAGACGTTAGATGTAACAATGAAGAAACAGTTTACCAAAGATTTCTCTTTTCTTTTTACAAAATGTTAGGAAGGTACAGTAAAAAAATTACTATTCGCACCGTCATAAAGTCTTCCCCATCCAGTAACATAAGCTGTACGACCAACGTAAGTTTCATCGTCATCCGGGAGACAAATTGGCAAAACGTTTGGCTGGAATGTTGGAAGTGGCTCGTAGAATCTCAAAAGAGCGAGATCATATTCGAAAGTTCTTGGATCGAATTGTGGATGACTCGCTATGATCTGTACTCGCCTTTCTTGGAATCCATATGGTTCTTCCTCGTTCGCTAGATCGTATTCTCCGATCCTCAACAATAAATCCGCCGGTGATACACTGAAATTAGATCAAAGTGATGAAATACTTAAGAGAAATAGAGACAAGTAGAATAAAAACGTTCGTATATTCACTTTTCAACACAGTGTGCCGCGGTAATAGCCCAATTCTCGTTCAACAAGGCTGCTCCACATTTGTGCAAATAGGTAGATGTCTTCCATTGACGTAACGAGATCTGTAAATCAATCTTTCATGTTCGCGCATCGTAGAAATGGATAGGATCGTTGATTAGAAGAGATCGTACGTTGCGTAGTCTCGATAGAAAATGAGCAAACAACGTCGTGATAGACATCTCCGAGAAATGAGACGACTGGTCAAAAGCTTTCCTAACTATCCTCGTCGATCAATTTGGTCTTTCGACAAACGTGATCTTCCTTCATCTTCATTCTTTTCTTTTCTTTTCTTTTCTTTTTTATTCTTTCTTTTTATTTATATAGAAATTAGACGTAACGCGAAAATCGTGAAAAAAATAAAGATAAAAGAGCACGGTTTCTTTTTATTCTTTTTTTTTTTTTTTCTATCCACTCACCTGCCAGGGCCACTTGCCAAAGGTACTGCGATTGCCACCCACGATCCTCGACTCGGGAAATATTCTCCTTCCGCAAACTGCAAGCAGAAGCATCGTTGAGTTTACTGCTTTGAAGAGATTCGCGTGGTGGTTTGCCGTTGTCACGACGACGGCCATGTTGGAGAACGAGGACGTGCTCGAATTCATTCGACTGGATGAACCGGTATAAGTCACGTGCTTCCTTTTATTTTTTCTCTCACCCCACTCTATGTTCTTTATGTGAACGAAACGTCTCATTGGCTATGTGGTTGCCCCTTCTATATTAGCATTTTCAATTTATATACCGACGGATCGTTCTTTGTGAAAATGATCTTTTCACCGTGAGCTCTCATGATTCACGATAAAGGAAAGAAAAGCGTATGAAATACAGGAGAACAAAGACAATCAGTCCATCCAATCGTAATACTAATAATTTTTTGTCATGCATTTTTCATATTTATCTACCTTTATAGATCTGCTATGAATACTCTTACGATATGAATACTCTTACGAAATAATGAAATTTTGATAATGATCGTGTATAATAACCTTGCTTGTAATCCGACATATTTAGAGTTTCTATCGATATCGGAGTTTCCGTATCAACGGCTATAGTAGCGATGCTTGACAATGTCGTCAGAATCGTTGACGTCTCTGTAACTTGCTCCGTCGTCGTTGGTACTTCCGTCGTTGATCTCACTGAATTTTTTTTGAGAAAATTATTATTAAAATCATATATATATACATGATATCATATGTATACATAGGTTTATATCGAATACAACAAATAAGATATAATCTTTTTACCAGGTACATCAGATGATACAGTAGACGAGACGGACTCTAATTTAGTCGTCGAACTTCCCAGATTTTCCGAGGACGTTTCAACGGTCGTTGGTGGTGATTGGATCATTACCCAACCATCCGGCGTTGTTATGGGTGTCCATTCGCTCTCCGTTATTTCTGAAATGAGAGAATGAAATGTTTAAGAATAAAAAAAAAAGTAAGGATGAAAAAAGAACGTTGAATATTCGACAAGAAATAGATTCCGTTGAACCAACAATGACTTTAGGAAGATTTCCAGACAGTTGGATAGGAATAGTGGAAGGACGGAAAGGAAAAGAGAGAACAGAAATTACGGTGGATGGTTTAAACCGTTACGACGTCCCAGCCTGACGTACAGAGTTTTATCTCCTCTTGCGATGCTGTTGAACGTAGTGAGATAAAGAGAGACAGAGAAATAGAGAGATGTCTCTTTAACCCATTTGTAACATCGACCCTGTTCTTTGATCTTGATCTAGCTTCGTATGCTGGCCTTGAACCAATACAAATACAATATGCAACAAGAGACAAAATACTTGGTTCAAATGAACTCTAATTTCGTTCGAAAGTTGCCGTTCGAATTTGATATGCTTAAAAATGCAGCTGATTCTCAAAATAATTGCTTAAATACGATAAAAATACGACAAAGTATTCCTTAAGAACATACTATTCTTAATATCTCGTGAGCGTAACACGTATCCTTCACGCGTTTCTACGTCTAAAAATAGAAGGATGAGAACATTTCTACGATCATTCTATTCAAGAAGCTGCACATCGATGCAAATTATATATTATGTGATCTGAACTTTGAATTTTTCAGGATTTAATCCATACAAAGATTAAATTAATCTATTATCCTTAAAACTTAAACGATACTTCATTTTCATCATAGTTGAAAATATAATCCAAGAATATATACAAAAATACTTATCAATATTTCGTTTGCATTAACAAACAAAGAAGAAAAATCAACACATCCGATCCGTAAGTTTCAATTATCCAAGCGATTAAGAGAACATAGAATGAAAAGAAAGGGAACATGAGTGAGAATGCGATAGATACCCAAGCAATCAATCAAATTCACTCGGGTACACGCTATTCTGAATACTGATTAATGCGGAAGGTATAATAACGGTTTCGTCGTGAATTTCTCTACGAGATGATTTTCCATTGCCGACAAGAGAGTTTTGTTACACAATGAACATCCGTTGTGAAAGGACATGAGCGGATATGCGAAATGTAGTTTCATTATGTAAGCCGATTTTCCGTATTAGATTGTATGTAATATTATCAGCCGCGCATTATCAAATGTTGAAATTCATATGATTCTTTCATACGTCGAATATGTATAATTAATAACTTTTCATGCAATCTTGATCATAACTTCAACTTACCATCGTGTTTTTTGGTTGTGGATAAAACGTCAGTTGCTTTAGTTGGTGTTTCATCGGAATGGGAAGACCACGTGACCAAACCAGATGACGGTGTAGTTTGTGGTACTTCTTCGAGAGTCTGGTTGACAATTGGTACCTTGGACGTTTGACTACTCGCAGTCGAGGAAGAGGAACTAATGAAGCTAGGGACAGATATGGTCGTAGGTGTTGTGATTCTAATAGGTTTTATCGTAGTTTCAATTGAACTCTCAGTTGGCTTAAACTTGATAATCTCCGATGTTGAATTACTTGTAGAGGTTTGGAAAATTGTCTTTTGCGTGGTAGACGTTTCTAATTTATCAGTGGTTAATGTACTGATCTTAGTAGGCTTCGTACTGATTATAGTCGTTACAATTGGCCTAGAAGTGGTTGGTTTAGGTTTGGTCGTGATTTTATGATAAATAGGTTTCTCAGTAGTGATTGTAATCGGCTTTCGAGTTACAAAACTCACTGTTTCCGTCACCAAAGTTACGAGTGTCTCTTCGGTAGAAGACAAAAGATTGCCTTCAGTCGTTGTGAACGTTGGTTTTGTCTTATTAGACGTCAAATAAGTCGACGCTACCGTTGTTGTTCCGTGACTAGAACCAATCGAAGAATTACTTTGAGTCGTCGGTTTTTTTGTGGGTAAAGTTGGTTTTTTGGTAGACAAGGTGGGTCTTTTCGTGCTCGTGACAAGGGGTCTCTTCGTGCTAACAGTAGGTGGTCTCTTCGTAAATTGTTGAGTCACTGGCTTGACCGATGTCGTGTTTCTTGGTGGAAATCTTGTCGAAGGCACAGTCTTTTGCGTCGTTGTAATAATACTTTTCGATGTGGTTGTTTGTATCGGTCGTTGAATACTCGTTTGAGTAGTTGTATGTAATATCGTAGTGTGTAAAGGTTTTTTTGTAATCGGTTTCGATGTACCTACGATTGGTCTTGACGTGGTGGATAAAGTCGAAATTTTGAACGGAACTGTTGGCTTTTGAGTTGTACCGACTGATAGTTTAGAAGTTGTTGAAGTAGTAGACGTATTGGACGAATACTTTGTACTTTCTGTAGAGATTTTAGTGAAATTCTTGGAGGGTGCGGATGTAGTAGTAAATTTTTCGTACGAGCCGTTTTGAACTGTTTGAAAAGTCGATAGACGAATCGATTGTGTCGTCGTTTCTATGGTCTGTATCGTTGGTTTCTTTGTTACAATCTTTGTACTCCCTCCATGTGTATGCGATGTACTTTTAGTACTTTGTGTTGCCTGAGTGATCGTAGTAGCCTAAAAAAACAATGGAGATCGATCGGATCGGAGATTGTTAAATCTATATGACATTGCGTATGTGTGTTCAGGAAATTAATGATCTCTATAATTAACTTCATTGCAGTAAGTTTTATCTTCCATTTTAAACAACTTCCGCATTTTAAGAATAGAAAACATGACAAAAGTATTTGAATCAGGGTCTCATTTTCTTTTTTTACCGCGGATAAAATTTTTAAATAGAAATTATATCGTTGTAATTTGTAATATTCCCAATTTAAAGTTCTAATCCGGTAAAAAATTTTTGTCCAGGAAAAAAATAAAAAGAAGAAATTTTATGAAATCATAAAAAAAAAAAAAAAAGAAAAAGAAAGACTATTAACTTACCACAGTGGTGTATGTACCAGATGGTTTGCTTTGGTCGTTAGGCTTTGGCCTTGGAAAATATGGGGGTATGTCATTGCTCTCGATGGGATTGTGAGTAGTGACGAACGGCCTTGATGTTGCTGGCGGTCCATCGTCGATGCTGTTGTCCTGAGGTCCAACGTCCGGCTCTTCGTCGATCTTACAACAACTACCGAAATAGAAACGATCGATGCATGTGCCAAGATGCGTGCCGTTCGCCTTTGCACAGGTAAATGCAAACATGCAAATTCCGGTTTCGCCTGTTCTACGCGACACGCATGGCAAGTGTCGGATGTTTCTTCCAGTACCTGAGATCAAAAAAAAATATTAAGAAAATTAGTCGATAATTAAGATCATAATTGTGAGAAAGACTCGACTGGTCAAGTTAACGCAAGATGAGTCTTTCAAATATTATTATTCTTCACAGATTTCAACTGCTTTAATATTATTTTGCTACTCGTGTAGAATAATTTCTTTTTAAAGAAGTTGTATTCACTCTAAAAATCGAAAGGACTAGTTCCATCTCAATCTATTCGTTGTACCATTGTTATCGTCTTTCTTCCTCTTATCGGGCTGAAATGTCTTACTCGATTATTCATCGATTATACACTTCCTTGCCTTTCATCACCTGCATTTAGATCGTAGCCTTAATGGAATGCGTTGAAGATCATCATTAAGAAGATGATTATCAACAGCGGCAAGCATACGAGAGATGATACACGAGTGAACTGTATTTTGTATTGAGAACATACGTATAACGCTTCATAGCGAGAGAATGCACAGTTATAGGAGACACTTTAATATTGCAAAAAGAGAGAAAGAGAAGCAATACGGAAGCGTTCACAGCCCAGATATCTTCCTCCTAAAACGTGTTCCTTGTTGCATTTTTTCCCCATACGTGTTTTAATATGTTTATTACTATACGATCTTGACATACATCGATAACATTCTAACGAACGTGTAAAAGCAAGATCAAGAACGTGTATGCGCTTTTAAATTTATATTATTGTATAGTAGATTTTTTCGCATTCCTATTTTTTACTCACCATATTTATCGATATATTTATTATCGATATATTGGCAATCGAATTAAATAGGAAACTTTAAACAAAATTTAACGACTGTTGATAATAAAAGTTCCATCTTTTGACGATCGATCGAGTAATTTCTCGAAAAATCTCTATTCTGTAAGAAATTATAATCGAGAATATATCGTTAGAAGATAATCACACTTGGAAAATATCTCGTTTTATTATCGATCGATTCACATGAACGTTTTTATTCAATATGCTACGTCCTCGCATAGCTTATAGATAGCGGGCAATGTTATTTTAATGAGAATACCTCTTATCGTTGACTATTAAATCATTGCTATTCAACATTTGATTTGGTGATGATATAAACTAATGAAAAAAGTATGTTATATAAACAATAAATACTTGAGAATAGGTAAAAATATAGATCAATATTACCACAAAATAATCATTTTTGAAGTATTTATTTTTTTAACTATTAACGATAAGCATTATTAAACGATAAGATTATCAAATAACTTCAATTTTTCAAAGTATTTCGTCGAAAATAAAGATTAATGTCACTGATTAATGTATTACTTTGGAAGTCCTAAGTATTTAATTAAAATTATCTGATTATATAAAGAATTCGTATACATGAAATTATAACAATTTAGTTTTAGTTATAATAATTTATGGCATTGATGTTACGTAGATCGACGTAGCATGGATTATCAAAGAAAGGAAGGAATTGATGTCAGACGAATGGAAGCATCTGGGTACCGTTAAATTTCGATGTATGAGCTAGTTACCCGAGTCACAAGTAGGTCATAGTCATAGCCCAATGTAACAACTCGTTTCCTTCCAAGGCACCTTGTAATCTTGGTTCTCTCTCTCTCTCTCTCTCTCTCTCTCTCTCTCTCTCTCTCTCTCTTTTCCTTCTTCTCTTTTTCTCCTTCTCATTTTACAAAGCCGAAGAAACCACCGAGCGCATTCCAAGGCATCTTGAAGGTATTTCAGACGATTAGATCGACATACCTGTAGCTTAAGTCCTCCGAGAATAGACTCCGAACGAATTTACGTGAAAAATTATCTCAGATCTTTTTCTAAATGAACTGTAGTAAGATGCTGACTATTTGTATCAATATAATATAATATTTTATATATATATATATATATATATATATATATATATTCTCTCTCTCTCTCTCTCTCTCGTTCATAATAATTTATGAATATAAGGATTCGTACAATGAATATTTCATTCCTGATTCTTATAAATGTATTTTCGAATAGAAAGCACATAATGTAATGTTGCATGTAAAGAGAAATCTTTTAACGACTATAAAATCTTTATAAGTCGAGCTCAAGATTAGATGAGGTTTAGTAATCATTTTTAATCCTTTTTAATCTATACATTTTCTTCGCGTTACGTAATTTTTTTTTAAGTTAAGTGTACATACCTTGCTCTTAGGATTATTAATTGAACGAAATTGATATTACACCTCAATTCATTCATTTTCCTCTACCACTGTATGATTTAGTCGACAAGATACGCAGACGATGATTTATCATATTTCATGATAAAACTGAGTATTCGAATGTATAAATATATATGAACTTTGTACAAGTAAAATTATCGAATAGAGATAATCTTTTAAAGTGAAACAGAATTTTTACATTAAGTTCTTATTTTTCTTTCTTTTTTATTTATTTAATAAAAAATATTCAATAACAACTTTTATTTCTACCAATGACGACAATGACAGTATGTATATATATGTTCTCGATGCCCTATTTAATTCATACATCCTTGATGTTTTATTTAATTCATTAGATCATCTAAATTCTGTAAGCATAACTTAATACATAACATAAAAATATGACTGATAAAAAATTGATTGCTCGATAAATTTCAACTAATCTTTAGAAGAAATTGTCGTCACAATTTTCTCATTTTTGTAAAAGAACAAAGAAATTGTATTTCTCTATGAGTACTTTGTTTGCTAGCTTACTTCAATCTCTGCTGGATATTTCTCGTCCATTATTGCATAGACGAGCATATTTTTTACAGAACTAGCAGCAATTCAACATTGTAGCATTGTTTTTACTTCGTAAAAAATAATTTATCGATAATAACTATTGATATGTCGTTTTTAATAATCGTGAGGTGTCACACTCGACGATACGAAAACTTTGAGATAAGAAATTTTTCTAAAATAAAACTTTTTATCGAACTATAATCTATAATAAGTCACCTATATTTTTAATCCGTGTAAATAGAATTGAATGCGTGCATCCCAAAATATAAATATCAAATATCAATATCATATTATTTAATAAAATTAATCATTAGAAGTCAAAATGATGTAAATGATAAGAGATCGATAAGTATAGCAAATGATACTTGCAATTTTTATTTCTTTTTTTTCTTCATCTTTCAGATAAAATTGCTTTATAATATTTACATTTAGTAAAATTAATTACTTCTTTGTTGATCCACATGTTAAAGGAATGCAATGTAAAAGAATGTTCGTTAACCTAATCTTTAATCTAATTTTTTTTAATTACTTAGAATTCCATGTAATCTATCAATCTTCTATTTTATAATGTCTCATCGAAATTTCAAGTTAATTTTTCAACAATAGTGAATGTAGATCGTTCGAGATGTAACCGATCCTATTCTCCTGACGTAAAGTACACTCTACCGGCATTGATCCTTCTTTCGCGGAAGTTCTAATAAAGTATAATCGAGAATGGAACGGAGCGTATCTACGGAAAATTACCGAGTTCCTCGAGCGTTACGCTTCTCTTTACTTTCTTTTGTAATCTCTCTCTCTCTCTCTCTCTCTCTCTCTCTCTCTCTCTCTCTCTCTCTTGGCTGAACGTTCGTGCAACAAAAAAAATAATGTGAAATAATTTGTGATATGGTATGCTTGCTTTCAGGTCAGTCGGTCGATCGGTCGGTTGGTCGGTTAGTCGGTTCTTTGCCTTCTCCAAAAAAGTCCTTCTCGATTGTCCTTCTCCAAAGAAAAAGAATAAAAAAAAAGAGAATAAAGAGAGAGAGAGAGAGAGAGAGAGAGAGAGAAGAGGAGGATCTGTGTTAGCGGAAATGTCGTTTCGATGAGTCAGAAGCACGGAAGAAAGTTTCAGCTAGGTCTTTAGCATACCTATCACCTTCCACCATACCTACTACTATACTATACATATACACTTGGCGGAATTTCAGACGTGACCATACAAAGCGAGTATGCCACACGTATATATATTATACAACACAACAGATTCACAACAACAACACGTATATAAGTAACATATATATCACCCACGCGATCGAGAGTTCGCGTTTGAAAAGATTTCACTCGGTGCGTGTTGTGTTGTACCATCGTAGGAAAGTGTCTTCTCTCTTTTATCGCCTTTACGAGCACCAAAGTGGCCACGATGTGATAACTTTCTTCGATCGTTCCTTTAAAACGATCGAAGAACTCGTCACGAGTACTGCACATTGTTTTTCTTGTTTTTTTTCGTGCTTATTAAGTCTATGGTCTTTTTACTCTGTAAATTTTTAGAATTTGTTTTTTTTTTTTATACACAGGAAATTGAAAATACTAGAACGTTCAGTTTCAATATTTCTTTTTGAAAGTGACCTTTCGATCTTGGAACGAATAATTTCATATAGAAATGAAAGCTAAATGCATTATTCTCGAACATGAGAATCTTCCAAGTGAAATCTAAACTTGACAAATAGGTATACACGGTCGTTACGCTCACTCAAATTCACAGAAACGTTATATGCTTGTATTTACAAAGTGTAAAGTCGAAAAGCGATACTATCGTGTCGATACTGTAGTTATGCGAATAGAATCGAAAAAAATATTTTCTGTGAAATGGTATTGATCTAAAATAACGCTCTTCAGTTTCGATTGAATTGTGAATTCAATATCTCTAACGCACGAACTTCTCCTTCGTGCGATTATTAAATAAACGTCTCGTAATATTCGTCATTAATAATAACCATTATTTGGTGTAAATAAAATACAACCAAAAATACAATTAGACCACATGTTCGAATAAATATTGTGAAAAGTATCAAGTATTGGTAAAAAGATTTATTTTATTCAATATTTTTCATACGTCATAAATACATGTTGCATATATTGAAAAGTAAGAAATTTAATTGTAATTTACAATCGTATTTTAAAGCTATATTAAAATAAATCATTTCAATAATTGGATAAATATTATTTTGCGACAATAGTTTGGAAGAAACGATTTATGTACAATAGAATTCTGAATTGTAATTAGGTAACATTTGAAGCGAGTAAATGGCTTATCGATAAAAGTCGATTCGAATATATCGATGGAGAATCGAGGATGGCAAAGTCGGAAAAATCGGTGCAAGTCGTGCACGGCGATGACCGAGGCTGACCTACTTATTTACATAGAACACTGACAAGTCCGCCCACGTTCCATTCGAATACGAATCCAAGGTAGATTCAATGTCGTCTCCAAGATATGGACAGACAGTGAAGGGATATGTGTTCGTATACGCACGCGTCTCACACATACTAACTCAGAGATACGATAGGTTGGCAAAGCATTCATGAGTATGTTCGTGTTGGCCACGTTAAAGGTATTTGCTTACCGGTCCGTTAGTCAGCTGACACGTTCGAGGAAAATCCAAGAAATGATTCTCTCGTTTGCCATTACCGTTCATTGATCATTTTTAGGTCACTCTTATAATATAATTCTATTCTAGTGACCAAACTATGAACCATTACGAATTCCTTTGAATATATATATGGGGAGAAAATCGAGTGTAGAAATAATTAAGTACTTACTACTTGGTAAAAATTGTGGGACATAAATAGGATTGGCTGTCGTGATGTGTATGAAGACGCAACAGAGCGAGATGATGATCCAACTTAATCTGCGATGATTCCACATCTGAAACAGAAAATGAGATATAAAGAAAATCAATCAATCATCTATTTATCTTATGATTAGTGAAAAGTGTATCTTTTTTTTTTTTTTTTTTTTTTTTTGTTTTTCCTTTTTCCTACTAAAAATAAGGAATAAACGTATAAAACTTTAGTAAAAATTAGAAGAGCCTGATATAAAAGTAAAACAATAAATTTTCATCAAGAAACATATCTTTTCTTGAAAGGTTCGAGTCATCGAACCAAGCTGAGTGGGAAATGTACGTAAGAAAGTTAATAAGATGCCGATTCCCTCGACCGTGACATCGAGCAACGTCGAACAACTTCTACGATATATTCCTGAGAATATTCTCAGGAGATGATCCACGCGATGTGTCGCACGTCAGTAATCATTGCAATGTAATCGCATGTGATTTTAACGTTCATATATACATACGTCCGATCTTCTTTTTCTTCAAACATATCGTGCGACATCCTGCAAGTAGTCACTCGAGTTTCTTGACTTTCGCTCGTCATGTCTATCAAGAATACTATAGTTCTTTTTTTTCTCTCTTTAAAAAATGATATAATCTGTATAATATTTTTGAAAAGAGAAAACAAAAATAGTCCGAGTTCCAATACTTTTATTTTCGAATTGAAGCATGCATCTATCATAAATGCGTCAGCCTTGAAAATGAAAGAGCATCGATCTCAAATTCATTAATATTTAAAATATATAATCTACATGGTTACATTATATATGTATATTGGCAAGTATATAAAGAACGTATCGAATCGATCCATCAATAGAATTCGTTGTCTTTCGACCAGAGCCAAACATATCGATTTCGAGCAAAGTTGATCCATCCAAGTGGAAAAAGATCGAGCACCTAACAGATAGTAGAGATCACGTAGAGATCAACTCTTTTTGGACGAAATACATAGCTTCATCAGCGAGAGTATTTTTTGGCCGAGAAACGTGAACGATGGTAAAGACTTGTACAAGGCTTCGGTCAATGACCGGTACGAGAAAGACATTCGTTTGGCGCGATCATTCAACAGGTCGATGGTACGTTGAACCAACGACGACACAGCGATGACAACGGCGATGAAGACGACGACAACGACGACGACAACGACGACGGCAACGACGACGATGATGCCAAAGGAGGAAGAAGGAGGTCGATGAGAGCAAACTACATGTTTCCGCCCTTCTTCATCGAATCTTTCGATTTTCAACAACAAAGCACTTAAAACTTTGAACTCACCGATGAACAATTAAATAAATTACAATCAATTTTTATTATCATTTTAATGAATTTAATATTAATGGACTAATCATTTTGATGCGACAACGACGAATTAATCCATTGATCACAAAATTTAGATTGATCATATTTCCAGCTGATTCTCATTGAGCTCTTGTCGATGGTCAGGTAAATTAAAATGCGTCCTTCCACCATGAAGATATGTATATAGAGGGCCGAGATACTGTTATTCCAGGGTCGACTTAGATCGATCGGGTGTTCCTCTAACGTGAGTCTAGAATATGCTAGGGGCATACATATATACATATATTCATCGGTCGAACACGTTGACCCACATGTAGGCAACACGGAGTAACGGCTTTAATGAGATGCTTGAAAGTGATAGCATTGTTCAACTTGAAGAATGACGATTTTATTATTGTAAAATTAAAGTTAACAATCGAGTATTGTGATTTGTAAGCATTGCTTTTTGTTTATCTTTCATTTAAAGACAAATCCTACGAATATATATATGAGGAGGAAGTCAAGTCTAATAAAATCTCGAAATGAACATAAAGATGTTTCATAAATGAAGACAAAGAAGTCACAAGAAAGTGCAGTGATAACTCGATCAACATGCGACTAGCTCGTGTTTACGAAGAAGAAATGATAAAAACCGTTACAGTTATCTCGAGGCATTAATTCGGCTGAACGAAGCAAAGAATACCGGAGCCCAGCCTTACGGCTTGTCGATGGTCAGGTTACAAGATTCCTCCTCTCGGCCCACGCGAAGTCAACAGTTATCTTTCTGAAAAACTATTTAACTTGGATGAAAATCATTTGATAAATTTCATTTCCAAAATTTCTTCTTTTCTTATCTCCTTTTTTTATGGCTATTAGAGAGAGGAGGAGGTTCACATATTTGGACGAAAAGCGTTCGTCGTAAATAACAGTGGAACAAGCTCATTGCTAACGGTACACGCCACTTTCATTTGTACGCACGTATCTAATGCGAGCGAGACATGTGGGTTGCCACTGAAAGAACAGTTCTTTCAAAGGAAACGAGAGCTTCTCTCTCTCTCTCTTTCTCGTAAAATCGAGCCAAAACATAAAGGAGCGTTAAATTTGAATTAAACTTTTTCGTAAATTGCAAGAGCTCGATCGAACGAGCATGATCGATGGAAATTTAAATCAAGTATACTACTAGCTATGGTTTATGTAAGTCTTATTATACATACACATATCTCTTTTAAGAGAGTATACACACATACTACATAGATACGTAATTAGCAATAAATTCGAAAAGGTCGTAAATAAAGAGAAAAGGATTTTTACGATGCAAATCTTTCATGAATTACATATGGAAAAACATAAAGAAGAAAGAATGGTACCTAACGTAATGAAGGAAATACCATCGTGTTCAACTCGTGAAAGTCGAATTCGACTCAAAGGAGCAAGAGTGGTACCGCTATTCGTGAACCACATACGGTTTACCTGGTCGAGCTAACTCCGTGCGTAACATCGAAGACGTATCGAAAGTCGGTTCGTTTTGAAGACTCATAATATCAACGAATGTTCGTAATTGCAGCGTTGCTCGTTTAATTGATGTTAATTGGCCGTTCGACTACACGTTTTCAAACGAAAATTTACAAATGAAACACCGAGAGAAATTCGAGGTATAACGAATAATGCAATAGCGTAAACGTGAGAGCTTAATGAAAAATCAAATTACTGCAAAGAGCGATCACGCAAGAGATCTTAATTGATTGTTAAGTGATGAATTGGAGCGGTTTTTGTTTTACGTTTCAATCCCACGCGGCTATTATTTGGGATTTATATTCTATACGTTCAGGAATTCCTCGGGAAAAACATATTAATGGATATACATATATAAACGAAAAAAATTTGACCTTTGAATTTTGTGAAATCAATTGTTTTTAAAGAACACAGCAATTAAATTCAGATAGATAATCATTTAATTTTCTTTTGACGAGAAGATAACAATTCTTATTATCAATGAATCTTTCGATAAGATGATCTTCTTACTTCTTTCGATCATTGAAACCTTGAGCTAAATCTAAAACCTTACATCGATCAATATCAGCCAAGGAATTATACTATCGCGGGTGATGTTTGTTCTCCGTCAGATTCGGGGCATTTTATCCAAATAAGCAAGTAACCGAGAAAGATGGAGAAAGAGAGAGAGAGAGAGAGAGAGAGAGAGAGAGAAAGAGAGAGAGAAAGCAATCTTCTACCTTTGAAGAATCTTCTTGCTTCCTAATTCCAGATCCTTCTAGTTTGCTCACTAAGAACTTGCTTATGTTTGGCACGCGTTGTTCTCCAACTACACGTGACTCGGCGAACGAAAACCTCTCGAATACGTCACGATCGATTTCGATATATCCACAAGTTTGAAATGAACACAAATGATAACGCGTAAAAAAGAAAGAAAGAAGGAAACACCTTTACGATCAGGTTGACCCAAAATGAGAAAAGAGAGAGAGAGAGGTATATACATATATGTGTGTGTGTGTGTGTTTATGTGTTTGTGTCTGTGTGTGTATGTGTGTGTGTATATATATATATGTATATATATATATATATATATATATGTATATATATACACACACAGCCGCGTTACGAGAGACGAACCCTGCGATGCCTTCTCGCGAGTTCTTCTTCGTTTACACCGGTTACTCTTCTCTCTTGCCGGCCTATCAAACTGGTTTGGCCTCTCCGTCTATCTCTCTCTCTTCTCTCGCAACTTGTGGATCAGCGAGCACCTGGATCGGTGCTGTCTCGATCTTGCTCTTGACTCGACTCCGCACACACGAATCCGATTCACCAGGCATCATTCCTTCTCCTGTAGGCGCCTCCCTACCTTTCCTTCCTTTCTACTCTTCTTTCTCTGTCTCTCTCTCTCTCTCTCTCTCTCTCTCTTTCTCTCTCTTTCTCTCTCTTTCTCTCTCTTTCTCTCTCTTTCTCTCATCCGCCACGACACTGTAAATATACAAAAGGCTTGACTAAAGTGTGGGGCAATTCTCTTCGGTAGACCATAGCAGGTTCCTCGCTTTTCACGGTGATTGGGACTCTAGCACCGACTCGAAGCAAGGTGGTGGCAATGACCGTTCTCCTCCATTCTTCCTCTCCCTTCTACTTCACCTTCTCTTTAACCTTCTCTCTCTCTCTCTCTCTCTCTCTCTCTCTATCGTTTCACCACACTCCTACCAACCACATCGATGTTCTTTCTTCCACTCTTTGGGCGCTCTTTTCCTCTCTCATCTTTTCCCCTCTTTTTCTCTCTCTCTCTCTCTCCCCTCTCTCTATCCTTCTCAACATGATACCACAAGTCGCCATAACGTATGCTCCTTTCTTATCTTCCCTTCGCGATATCCTTTTTTCCCTTTTTATTTAACATTTTCCTGATTTATATACATGTCTCAATGATCCGGTCTCTCAATTTCATTCACCAGAAGCTAGCAGAGTCATCTATGTATCTAATTCAGTCCTCATGATGAAGAAGATGCACATATCAAATATTTGTGACTTCCACTTGACATGGTCGTATTTACCTGCTGCTAACCCTAGGAAGGTAAATCTTTTTACATAGGAGGATCTATGTAACAACATATACGATCCATTCATAGATCTGTCAAACAAATATGTATATCTACCTGCAATTTTGAGTTAAAAATTTCTCGCTCGTCTTCTGTAGATCAGCCTAATAATTTGTTTTTGATGGAATATGCATATCTACATTATGAATAGATTAATTTCTTAGAAACAATCTAATGATATGTCTATATCTAATCATAAGTCTTTAGAACTAGAAACAGAAGGTCGCTAATCGCTGTATCAATGAATACTTATCTCTCGGGAATGTTAACGTTACTGTTTCTAGTTGTTAAACAGAAAAAAAAATACGTAGCATAGCTATAAAATCAGCGACGTAATGCTATAAATCAGCATGATGATAAGAACTGATGCTAGGGGGAGGTAAAATAAAAGAATCGCTGAAAAGCTCAAAAGGATATATCGAGAAGGCTTAACGAAACCCCTGTGAGAGCTCTTATCACGCAGTGCCTCTCAAATCGAGTAGAATCGGTAGTTAGATATAAAGAATCGTTAACTAACCCCGTCGCGTCGAACTTAACAATATTTTCTCCATCTTCCTACGTCTTTCCCTTCTTCTACATAGACCATAGAAAATTTATGAAGAACGATATGATCATTTGAGAGACACTGCGTTTTATCGGTCTGTCGGAACACTTAAATACGAACATATGGCTGCCAAATATAACAAGGTACCTTTTCCAATCGATACGAATTAGTTTGAGATTTAGGTATCGCCAATGACATATTTTATTGATATAAAAATTAATAAAGTATATACTTACGTGTACAAATATTCACATGCAATGCTGAAACATATTGGAACATCGTAATAATGACGTGTTATATGTTGGTACGAAAGTAGTAGATAGAAAAAAAAATTCCATCGGGAATAGAATAAATAATATTTAAGTAATTAAATATATATTTTCTGATGAAAGGGAGAAAAAAGAATTATACGGTCAAATGTAATAATAAAAAAATGAAGAAGAAATGGTTACGCTTGGCTTGCTGCCATTCTCGCAAAAATAATTATGTATAAATATCTTTTGCAATAATTAATGGATAACAAGTTGTTTTAATAAACGATAGAGAAATAAAGGAAAGAATTAAAAAAAGTAATCAATCTTTCATACACGTACGAGAGCACGTTAATCCCTTAGACTCATAATGCCGAAATCGATAAAGATGGAAGTCTCTCAGCGGGAGATCTCACATTATTAATAACATTTTTTCTATCGACAGCTCTTTCTCCGTTGATAATGACATCGAAAATCTTATATTTAACGTTTTTATCGAGATGTCCATCAGGATCCTCTGGGAGCCCACGCGTAAAGGATTAGAGCTTCTACCTACCACCTATCATTCTATCTTCGGTTCGCCTGCAACTTTGCCGTCTCGTTATCGCTATTCAAAAGTTTAGCCGCATAAGCCAGGAAAGTTCGCTCTTTTAACGATCATATAAGATCGGCGATTTAAATCGTGGTGCCTTTATTTCAAACTCCAAGACGTTGATTATTCTCCTTGACCTACGTTGATGCGACGACTGAACGTTTCATCATCACAGGTCAAAGGGGAAAAGGATGAATTAATTTGTCACAAAAGTTTTATCTTTGGAATAACATTTTAGATTTTACAAACATTTGTAGATTTTTGTTCTTTTTTTCTTTTTCTTTTTCTTTTCCTCTAGCTTAGTTTCAATTCTACGATCGTTAGTATCGTTATTTATTATTCTGTAAAATAAAATCATTATTCGGATTGTTCTTTAACATGTACTTTAAAATGTTCTTTATATCTACATTTCATATAGTTTTCTACAAAAATATTTCGCGAAAAAACTGTGTCGTTAGTTGTTGTTAGATACGATGAAAATATATGCAATGACAATCGTTACGTCGTTACGCATAAGTTTTCACTTTCCTACGAATGTGATAGTACGTACATTCATTTAGGAACGCTAAGAGGGAATGTAAAAGAGATCGAGGAAGAAAGAGATCCATGTAAGGACGATGAACGGCGAAGGGGGTGCTCTGTTGTTTGGTGGGGCTGGAGTTCGAGGATTGGCTGCGCGAAAGGCGATCTGCAGCTGAGGGGATGCGTCGGAAGGGTGCGTTCACAAGTATATATACTCCTGCCGGCGGCATTAGCGGGCGATCCGAACTTCTGAAAGGTTTAACCATTCTAAGGAATATTTTAAGCGCGAAGAAGGGAAAATACGGATAAAGAAAAATATATATTATACGGTTGATTGTTATCAAGAAAACGAAAAAGTGTTATTTCATTATATCACAAAAAGTTCAAGTTCGAAAATCTTTTTAAGACGGTTTCAAATCAACTTCGAGCTCGTTTGACAGTTCAAGATCGATTCGTTGATCGGTGAGTAAGTGAGTATCGAGATCGTTGATAATTATGTGACAACGACACTATGTTTTGTTTTCTTTTTTATTTTTTATTTTTTTTCTTCTTTTCTTTTTCCACAAACTTGTGCAATGAAAAGGAAAGTGTTTATTCCTTGTGTAATAACTCATGGACTGGACGGATATCTATGTTATCTACCAGTTAAACATTACCATGAAATTATTCGAATATATCGAATAAGTGTGATTTATTTCTCAATTTTTATTGTTTCACACGTTTTCGATCTTACCGGCGCGATATATAAATAATTAAAGAGAATAAATTCGTTTCTACATAAAACTAATCATTTCGTCATTCCGTTTTTTAAATTCATTAGTCGAGCTAATAACTTTTTTATCGACTGTTAATTAGTTATTTATCTTTACAATTACTGCATTTTAATTAATAGGAAAACTCCTAGTACGATCGCGTTGTTCTCCGGAAGAAACTTTTTAACGAGTTAATTGAACGAAAGAGAACTTGTCACTGTCAAAGTCAATTCAAACTCTTACAATTAGCAAATAATAGTATATATAAAAAAGGATGAAGAAAATAATAAAAACGAACAAACAAAGAGAGAGAGAGGAGAGAGAGAGAGAGAGAGAGAAAATAAATGAAAATCGCTACTACATATTCAATGAAATTTCAACGACGTCACCTTGTCATTTCACATCTCACCGATATACATATGTACGAGATTTCTATATTATTTTTAACGAAGTGTTCCGACCCTACCATTCTGACAGACCGAATCGTTTAAATTGTGGAAATTGTTTAATATGACTGACGTCGTGTTAAGCGTAGGAAAAAATCATTTTCGTTTGCAATTTGAAGAAAAATACCTCGCGTTCGGGCTTATCGATTTTTAACTCGTATTTCGTTATCTCCGTTCCATTTAATTAAATGGTCGAAAGTCACATCAATGGATGAAAATGTTCATGGGAGAATAAATCTGTCGAACGAATTTACGTTGATGAAATAAAAAAGATTTGAATGAATCAGCTCACGATCGATCTACGATTTGACGTTATAAATGTCATCGTACGGAGAAGATATAATGAAAGTTTCACTCGCATGATTTCCTTCCCACTATCATAAATTACGTTATGTATATTACGAAGAAATCAGTCCCGTATAATGTTGTCTCTTTTCTTTTATATGGATTCACGGTAACACTATTGTCCGCAAGATAGAGACTTTTAATACTGAAATTTTCATGTAACAACGTGTATTCTTTTAATCTTTCAACCGTTATATAAGTTTTTACAATTTCATGAAAAACGATCGATCTATGAACTGGACCTGCGCTGGATAACCACCAACGTGCAATATTGTCCCGTTAAGTGGTTGTAAAAATGCTATAATTAATTCGCTCAGTCGCTTGATCCGTATTATACGAGTTTCAATTTCCACGTCGAACCTTTCTTTATAATCTTTCTATCTTTAAGCCTTTCTCTCTATATATAGTTTCTAATAATAAACTTCTTATTTCATCACGCAAGACAAAAAAAAAGATCTTAAGCTTAAATTGAAATTTTTTCGTTTGCTATAAGGAATAAATATCCTTAGTTACTGTAAAATAAATATAGCGAGGAAAATGTATAAAATCAAATGAAAGTTCTTTCGTAAACGAAACATTCATTCACTCATTCATTCATTCATTCATTCATTCATTCATTCATTCATTCATTTATTTAATTTATTTCATATGAGGAATCAGGCAACTGTTTGTAACTTCTTTTATTTGATTTTTTTATTTTCTCCAATTTTGCCGATATCGAGAACGAGGACTTACCATTATCGACAAAGTTACTTGTTGGACCAGCGAAACGTGGTAGAAGCAACAGGTAACTTTGGAGTCAAGTTTCCAGCCACATGGCTCTTACATTGCATAGTATTATATTGTATTTCACTAGCTTTTCCAGTCTATTGATTTAAAGCAATCGATTCATGCAATTTCTCATCGAACAATCATACATTCATTCGCGTGAAAAGATTTTATCGTAATAAATAGGTCGCTCGATTCAGATATTTTCCTTGTATTCTTTTTCTTGTATCTAATGCAATTTAAAATAAATAACATGTAAATACAATGAATAATGAACTTACTGGTTTTTACAGTAACAGTTGATCTTTTAAAAGTTGATTTACGTTCTACGTCCAATTTGAAAATAGAAGATGAAATCCTTCGTTCTCGTGATACTTGTTACTATTTTTGGTATCACTATCATCCAATGCGAACCCGAACCGATGGCTAGGCCAACCAGACCAAAAGTTTTTACAAGTCCGGAAGAGTTACGAAGATATTTAGATCTCGTCAAAGATTATTATTCGATAAATGGAAAGGCCAGGTAATATAAGTTTATTAATGTTTTCTCATCGAATAATATTCATGTGATCATGAGATAATGATAAAATGAACGATACAGACGAAAATGAACGAGTTTTTTTACGTCTTTATATTTTAACACAGGTATGGAAAAAGGGCCGAAGGTAACGCATCCCCTGCCTTTTATTTAGGATATCCGTGGAATACTTTGAGATTTATACTTGATACTCACCGTCATTTTCAACAACAAAAGGAGGATAAGAGCAAGCCGATAAAGGAACAGATAAATTTTCGTAATTTTCAAGATAATGATACAAAAAAGCAAATATTTCGAAATAATCCGTCAGAAAATTTAAGTAACATGATTGATAACTATTACGATGACGTAGAATAAATACGATTGTATCGATTTTCAATGTTGGAAAAATTACAACAATTCAAAGTTCGACTATTTCTTTTAAAGTGTCGTATATTCGTGACTTGAATTAGTCAAAGTAATGATGATTTTATAAAATTGATGACTTGCAAAATTAATACATTTTTACACTTCGATTAGATGTATCTGCAGTAATGTTTCTATAACAGAAAACATAACTATTTATTTTTATGATTCTATAACGTCTTTTAATACCATCATAATTTAACATAAGATAAAACTCATATATTAGACCACGGCACTTTGGGCTTTAAAAATAAAATGGGAACAATTTATTTTACATTCAAATTGTCAACGTGTATCTAGCAGTTTCGATTATTAGTAAACATAATTAATTCCATGTTGTAAAAAAGCTGTGTCTGAGGTAGTATTAAAAGAGAGAAGAAAAGGAATGATCCAGAATTATGTAAGTTGTATTATTGACATGCTTTTTTCAAAAGATCTTAAAAGTTATGTGTTTTATGGCAGAAAGTCCAAATAGATAATTCATTGCTACGAATATTATATGGAAATATATGATTAATGAGAAAAGTTGATGAAATTTTTATTTAATCAATATAATAATATTTAAGATAAACAGTATGTTCCTTCAAATTATAATAAATGAATATTTACAAGGATCATTTGCGAAAACCTCAATATCTCATTTGCACTATTTTAACTGATAATGGCCACAAATAATTTGCGAAAGTGAATAATTTAAAAAAAAAAATAGATTCAATTCAATAAAAACAACATAATATGATTACAAATTCAAATTAGTATATTATATATATTCATATCTTTGTTACAATAGGTACTTCGTATTTTGCTACAGAGACCGATAATTACAAACGTTAAATATTAAGACAACATGTAATACTTTCAAATATTCAAGAATGTTAAAAGTAGGGCATACGGTACTTGATGTGGTAATTAGTAAGCTACATTTTAATTTTTATCTTCCTTCCCGTTTGTGCATTCAGCATGTTCTGGCCAATCACAGACTTCCAAAACTCGATTGAAATGTAAATTCGCTGGACACTGTTGAATTACTTTGACACCTCCAACGCATTTATAAAACAGCGAACAATTCGTCTCGTGAGGCAAATGTACTACATTACCGGAATCGTCTGATGGGCAATGATCTGGGATACTGCCAGGAGTCGATGAAGCTGGGACTCTTGTCGATGATTCAGGAGCCGCACTAGATGTTCCTTTAGTTTCTGGTAAATCTTGTTTTTCGTCTTCTTTATCGCCTGGTTTGCTTTTGCAGTTCGCTTGTTCCGGAAGATCGCAAACTTGCAAAATTGGATTGAAATGTAAGCCTGGTGGGCATTGAAGGGCAACTTTTTGACCTTCGTGGCATTTGTAAAACAGCGAACAATTCGTCTCGTGAGGCAAATGTACTACATTACCGGAATCGTCTGATGGGCAATGATCTGGGATACTGCCAGGAGTCGATGAAGCTGGGACTCTTGTCGATGATTCAGGAGCCGCACTAGATGTTCCTTTAGTTTCTGGTAAATCTTGTTTTTCGTCTTCTTTATCGCCTGGTTTGCTTTTGCAGTTCGCTTGTTCCGGAAAATCGCAAACTTGCAAAATTGGATTGAAATGTAAGCCTGGTGGGCATTGAAGGGCAACTTTTTGACCTTCGTGGCATTTGTAAAACAGCGAACAATTCGTCTCGTGAGGCAAATGTACTACATTACCGGAATCGTCTGATGGGCAATGATCTGGGATACTGCCAGGAGTCGATGAAGCTGGGACTCTTGTCGATGATTCAGGAGCCGCACTAGATGTTCCTTTAGTTTCTGGTAAATCTTGTATTTCGTCTTCTTTATCGCCTGGTTTGCTTTTGCAGTTCGCTTGTTCCGGAAGATCGCAAACTTGCAAAATTGGATTGAAATGTAAGCCTGGTGGGCATTGAAGGGCAATTTTTTGACCTTCGTGGCATTTGTAAAACAGCGAACAATTCGTCTCGTGAGGCAAATGTACTACATTACCGGAATCGTCTGGTGGGCAATGATCTGGGATACTGCCAGGAGTCGATGAAGCTGGGACTCTTGTCGATGATTCAGGAGCCGCACTAGATGTTCCTTTAGTTTCTGGTAAATCTTGTATTTCGTCTTCTTTATCGCCTGGTTTGCTTTTGCAGTTCGCTTGTTCCGGAAGATCGCAAACTTGCAAAATTGGATTGAAATGTAAGCCTGGTGGGCATTGAAGGGCAATTTTTTGACCTTCGTGGCATTTGTAAAACAGCGAACAATTCGTCTCGTGAGGCAAATGTACTACATTACCGGAATCGTCTGGTGGGCAATGATCTGGGATACTGCCAGGAGTCGATGAAGCTGGGACTCTTGTCGATGATTCAGGAGCCGCACTAGATGTTCCTTTAGTTTCTGGTAAATCTTGATTTACGTCTTCTTTATTTTCTGGCTTGCTGGTGCATTTAGCATGTTCCGGAAGATCGCATATTTGCAACTCTCGATTGAAATGTAAGCCTGGTGGACACTGGTGAATTATTTTCTCACCTTTGTTGCATTTATAAAATAGCGTACAATCTGTTTCGTGAGGCAAATGTACTACTTCACCAGTATCATTTAATGGACAATGATCTGGGATACTGCCAGGAGTCATTGAAATAATTTCTGTTTCGTATGATTGAGTAATAATTGATTGATTAATTTCTAATAAATCTTGATTTTTGTCTACTTTATTTTCTGGTTTGCTGGTGCATTTAGCATGTTCCGGAAGATCGCATATTTGCAACTCTCGATTGAAATGTAAGCCTGGTGGACACTGGTGAATTATTTTCTCACCTTTGTTGCATTTATAAAATAGCGTACAATCTGTTTCGTGAGGCAAATGTACTACTTCACCAGTATCATTTAATGGACAATGATCTGGGATACTGCCAGGAGTCATTGAAATAATTTCTGTTTCGTATGATTGAGAAATAATTGATTGATTAATTTCTAATAAATCTTGATTTTTGTCTACTTTATTTTCTGGTTTGCTGGTGCATTTAGCATGTTCCGGAAGATCGCATATTTGCAACTCTCGATTGAAATGTAAGCCTGGTGGACACTGGTGAATTATTTTCTCACCTTTGTTGCATTTATAAAATAGCGTACAATCTGTTTCGTGAGGCAAATGTACTACTTCACCAGTATCATTTAATGGACAATGATCTGGGATACTGCCAGGAGTCGTTGAAATAATTTCTGTTTCGTATGATTGAGAAATAATTGATTGATTAATTTCTAATAAATCTTGATTTTTGTCTACTTTATTTTCTGGTTTGCTGGTGCATTTAGCATGTTCCGGAAGATCGCATATTTGCAACTCTCGATTGAAATGTAAGCCTGGTGGACACTGGTGAATTATTTTCTCACCTTTGTTGCATTTATAAAATAGCGTACAATCTGTTTCGTGAGGCAAATGTACTACTTCACCAGTATCATTTAATGGACAATGATCTGGGATACTGCCAGGAGTCGTTGAAATAATTTCTGTTTCGTATGATTGAGAAATAATTGATTGATTAATTTCTAATAAATCTTGATTTTTGTCTACTTTATTTTCTGGTTTGCTGGTGCATTTAGCATTTGCCGGAAGATCGCATATTTGCATCACTGGATTAAAATGTAATCCTGGTGGACACTTTTGAAGTATTTTTTGACCTTTGTTGCATTTGTAAAATAGGGAACAATTTGTTTCGTGGGGCAAGTGTACAAGTTTTCCAAAATCATCTGCAGGACAATGATCTGGGATACCCTCAGTATACGTTGATGATGAAACTATTTTAGATGATGGAGGAACTTCTTCCATTAAGTGAGCATCCTTTATAGATACTTCTGGTATATTTTCTTCATTTGTAGATTTGCAGTTCGAATTCTGTGGCTGTACGCATACCTATAAATCGCAGCAATTGGTAAAGATTATAAAGTATTTTTTTATTTTCTCCTAGAACATACAAAGATGTATATTTAATAAAATGTTATGCAATAGTGTTAACTATTCAATGAACAAACTTGGTAATTATGAATTATATTTTATATTATATTATTAAAAAGTAGTCATTATATTCTAGTATCTCAGACGGTTAATGAAAAGCTCAATCTATATCTCAGAATAAAATTATTAAGAAAAATTGAATAATATCGTGGATAATGGATAGAATATAGCTCTATTTTATGAATACAAAATATTACTAACGGACATTTTATTTAATGAAGCATTTTAAACTGTCTGCTATGTTAGACATATAAACAAATATTATTTGATATTATGATTGTAGCAAAATGAATGCAGCAGAAAAATAAATGTTTAAAATCTTAAGATTTTTATTCGATCTGATCTTGATAAATATCTATTGCAATGTTATTTCGGACTAAATACAAAACAATTAATAATGTGTTAGTAATAGCCATGACGTTTAATAATAATAACCATGACGAAATTTATGTGATAAGCTGATGGAAACAATGGCAATAAAAATGATTACAATGGATTGATCAAATCCATTCAGACGTTATTATCTGTTTGTTTTTTCTTCTTTTCTTTGAAAAAAAATATGATATTGCAAATAAAAAATGCGAGATTCTAATATAAACATATCAACTAGTTTTAAAAGACTAGTAAATTGACTTGCAATAATAATATCAATTTCAAATACACTTCTAGTTATCATTTTTTGATAAAAGTGGAGTAAGTAATCAAAAGAATGATAATGAAAAAAGTAGCATTGAAAGATGTGTATTATATATAATGTGCTATAAAGGAATCGTTTAATTGTTAAACCTTGTAACTTAAGAATCCGTGCAAATTTTCATGTTTTGATTCCGAATGGATGTTCCTGACGTGCTTGGCTCGATTGAATTGAAGGACAATTTGCTTTATCAGGTGTTGTGCAAATATTGTGTATTGGATCCCAATGTAATCCGTTTGGACATTTATGTTGGATAAGCATACCGTCTACGCATACATAATAGAATTCGCAATAAAAATTATCAGCCTGAGTAGAAGCCTCGACGCACGATCGGTGACGACAATTTGCTTCTGATGGTGCGGTGCAGTATAGGCGTTCTTGATTCCAATAGAATCCAGATGAACATTTAAGTTGAATGTACATGTGATTTATGCACATGTAAACCTTATCGCAGTCCTTCTCGTGGGGTTTGAAAAGACCTTCTGCACACGTGGTAATAAGTGCCGTAGAATAAAGTGCATCTAATGGTTTCATGCAAAGATTGTATTCTTGATTCCAATATAACCCAGGATCGCATGCTTTTGTAACGTAATTATAAGAACCTTCAACACAGACGAAATTTTTATGACAATTTGCTTCGCTTGGATCTCTACACTGACGGTTTACTCTATCCCATTCCAATTTCCCATCACATTTCTGCTTGGTAAATTTACCGTTTCTGCATAGATAGTACAAATTACAATTACACTCGTGAGGAGCGGTAGAATTCTCGACGCACACAGAACAATCAACTAATTCAGGAAATGAGCAAATATTGTGTTTTCGATCCCAATATAATCCAGATGGACATATTTTCTGAACGTAAATACCATTTTCACAGACGTAATACTTGTTGCATTCTAATTCGTTGGATTTAAATGAACCTTCTTTGCAAGTAGACGGATGATAAGGACATTTTGCCACTTCAGCTATTTCGCATTTATTATTTTTGCGATCCCATTCTTTTCCATCTGGGCATTTCCTTTGAATCAATTCACCTTTTACGCATTGATAGTACAATTCGCATTTACACTCGTGATACAAGGTAGAATCCTCGACACATCTCACTTTTGGTAGGTAAGGACAATTTGCTTCTTCAACTGATGTGCACTGATTACGTGCTTGATTCCAATGTAATCCAGATTTACATGTTCTCGGAACGTAATTATTATTTTCGCACTCGTAATACATATTGCATACATTTTCGTAGGGCTTGAATGGACCTTCTGTACATTTATAGGAAGGACAATGTGCTTCTTCTGGTCTACTACAACGATAGTTATTGCGATCCCAGTGGAATCCCTTCAGACATTTCTCCAGGTTCCATGCACCAGATATGCATTTATAGGACCATTCGCATTGACACTCATGAGGCTTGGTAGAACCATCGACGCAAATACGACAATTGGCTTCTTCAGGTGTCGTGCAAATTTTATGGTTTCGATCCCAATGTAACCCGGATGGACATGTTTGCTGAACATAATCATTATGATAACACACATAATACTTATCGCACTCCTTCTCGTGGGGCTTGTAATAGCCTTGATCACAATGATTTAGAGGACAATTCGCATCCTCGATTCTTCTGCAGCGATGGTTAGTGCGATCCCACTGTTCTCCTATTGAACATTCCTGCTTGATATATCCACCGTTTTTGCATGTATAATACCATTCGCAATATAGCTCATGAGGCTTGGTAGAACCTTCGGTGCAATAAGGACAATTTGCTTTATCAGGTGTTGTGCAAATTTTATGGTTTCTATCCCAATGTAATCCGGATGGACATGTTTGCTGAATGTAATTATTATGATAACACACATAATACTTATCGCACTCCTTCTCGTGGGGTTTGTGAGAGCCTTGATCACAATGATTTAGAGGACAATTCGCTTCCTCAATTTTTCTGCAGCGATAGTTATTGCGATCCCACTGTTCTCCTATTGAACACTCCTGCTCGATATATCCACCGTTTTTGCATTTATAGTATAATTCGCAATAACACTCATGAGGCTTGGTAGAACCTTCGATGCAATAAGGACAATTTGCTTTATCAGGTGTTGTGCAAATTTTATGGTTTCGATCCCAATGTAATCCAGATGGACATGTTTGCTGAACATAATCATTATGATAACACACGTAATACTTATCGCACTCCTTCTCGTGGGGTTTGTAATAGCTTTGATCACAATGATTTAGAGGACAATTCGCATCCTCAATTCTTCTGCAGCTATGGTTAGTGCGATCCCACTGTTCTCCTATTGAACATTCCTGCTTGATATATCCACCGTTTTTGCATGTATAATACCATTCGCAATATAGCTCATGAGGCTTGGTAGTACCTTCGATGCAATAAGGACAATTTGCTTTATCAGGTGTTGTGCAAATTTTATGGTTTCGATCCCAATGTAAACCAGATGGGCATGTTTGCTGAACATAATCATTATGATAACACACATAATACTTATCGCACTCCTTCTCGTGGGGTTTGTAATAGCCTTGATCACAATGATTTAGAGGACAATTCGCATCCTCGATTCTTCTGCAGCGATGGTTAGTGCGATCCCACTGTTCTCCTATTGAACATTCCTGCTTGATATATCCACCGTTTTTGCATGTATAATACCATTCGCAATATAGCTCATGAGGCTTGGTAGAACCTTCGGTGCAATAAGGACAATTTGCTTTATCAGGTGTTGTGCAAATTTTATGGTTTCTATCCCAATGTAATCCGGATGGACATGTTTGCTGAACATAATCATTATGATAACACACGTAATACTTATCGCACTCCTTCTCGTGGGGTTTGTAATAGCCTTGATCACAATGATTTAGAGGACAATTCGCATCCTCAATTCTTCTGCAGCGATGGTTAGTGCGATCCCACTGTTCTCCTATTGAACATTCCTGCTTGATATATCCACCGTTTTTGCATGTATAATACCATTCGCAATATAGCTCATGAGGCTTGGTAGTACCTTCGATGCAATAAGGACAATTTGCTTTATCAGGTGTTGTGCAAATTTTATGGTTTCGATCCCAATGTAACCCAGATGGACATGTTTGCTGAACATAATCATTATGATAACACACATAATACTTATCGCACTCCTTCTCGTGGGGTTTGTAATAGCCTTGATCACAATGATTTAGAGGACAATTCGCATCCTCAATTCTTCTGCAGCGATGATTAGTGCGATCCCACTGTTCTCCTATTGAACATTCCTGCTTGATATATCCACCGTTTTTGCATGTATAATACCATTCGCAATATAGCTCATGAGGCTTGGTAGTACCTTCGATGCAATAAGGACAATTTGCTTTATCAGGTGTTGTGCAAATTTTATGGTTTCGATCCCAATGTAACCCAGATGGACATGTTTGCTGAACATAATCATTATGATAACACACATAATACTTATCGCACTCCTTCTCGTGGGGTTTGTAATAGCCTTGATCACAATGATTTAGAGGACAATTCGCATCCTCAATTCTTCTGCAGCGATGATTAGTGCGATCCCACTGTTCTCCTATTGAACATTCCTGCTTGATATATCCACCGTTTTTGCATGTATAATACCATTCGCAATATAGCTCATGAGGCTTGGTAGTACCTTCGATGCAATAAGGACAATTTGCTTTATCAGGTGTTGTGCAAATTTTATGGTTTCGATCCCAATGTAACCCAGATGGACATGTTTGCTGAACATAATCATTATGATAACACACATAATACTTATCGCACTCCTTCTCGTGGGGTTTGTAATATCCTTGATCACAATGATTTAGAGGACAATTCGCATCCTCAATTCTTCTGCAGCGATGATTAGTGCGATCCCACTGTTCTCCTATTGAACATTCCTGCTTGATATATCCACCGTTTTTGCATGTATAATACCATTCGCAATATAGCTCATGAGGCTTGGTAGTACCTTCGATGCAATAAGGACAATTTGCTTTATCAGGTGTTGTGCAAATTTTATGGTTTCGATCCCAATGTAACCCAGATGGACATGTTTGCTGAACATAATCATTATGATAACACACATAATACTTATCGCACTCCTTCTCGTGGGGTTTGTAATAGCCTTGATTACAATGATTTAGAGGACAATTCGCATCCTCAATTCTTCTGCAGCTATGGTTATTGCGATCCCACTGTTCTCCTATTGAACATTCCTGCTTGATATATTCACCGTTTTTGCATGTATAATACCATTCGCAATAAAGCTCATGAGGCTTGGTAGAACCTGCTGTGCAATAAGGACAGTTTGCTTCTTCAGGTTTATTGCAAACATTATGTTTTCGATCCCAATGTAACCCAGATGGACATGTTTGCTCAACGTAATTATTACGATAACACACGTAATACTTATTGCATTCCGTCTTGTGTGGCTTGAAATAACCTTGATCACAATGATTTATAGGACAAGTTGCTGTTTTACTGCAACGTTCGTCTTCTCGATCCCAAACTAATCCAGAAGCACATGTATGCGGTACGTATTGTTGTCCTACACACGTGTAATATTTATCGCAATCCACTTCGTCGGGTTTGTAATAACCATTAGGACATTTAACGTAAGTACATTTTGCTTTTCCAGGTCGTGTGCATTTTTTGTTAACATCATCCCAATGATCGTCTTCTTTACAACTTTTCCGTTCTAAATCTCCATTAATGCATTGATAATATATTTGACATTGGCATTCATGTTTTCGGAGTTCTCCTTCCGTACACGTTAGCTTAAATGGTAACGTTGGTTTTGTCGTCGAGATTCCTTGTTGCTTACTTTCTTTTTTCTCGTCTATATAACAGGTTTGCAGATCTTGGTTCCAACACCTATCATTCGAACACTTGTTGAGTATTTTTTTACCATTAATATTCTCATAATATAAATTGCATCTGCACTCATGTGCTTCGTATCGAATTGAATTTGATGGGTTAGATGATGATATCGAAGATGGTATGTTACGTGGCGTTGTTAGTTGCGATGTTTGTTGGTTTGTTAGTGGCACATCTACATATGTTGTTAGTACAGGTTGAAATTTACAACCTACTTCTGAAGGATAGTCACAAACCTGAAGTAGAGGATTAAAGTGTAGCCTATCGCCTCTACTGTTACTGTACGGACACTCTTTCAAAATTTTTTCACCTAAAAAGCAAACATAAAATTTGCTGCAATCTGATTCATGAGCTAGTAAAACCGTTTCCTCGAGAGAATCTTCACTTGGGCATACTGTAGGTGCTGCCTGCTTAGGGGCTGCTTCTAAATTTACTGCGGCTAGGATGATCGCAAATATTGCGATCAAACCAAAGTCTCCTAAAATTGATGGAAAACATTTAGATCATTGAAAATTTTGAAAATTTTTGAAAATTTTTGAAAATTTTTTTTTTTTTTATTTATATTTGTAATAAACGTTTCTATTTTTTATATAACATTTATCCTTCTTCGTTGATTTTTCTCTTATCAAACTATTTTGCAATATCGTACGTTTATCGAGAGCATTGATAAATAAAGTTAAGTATGCACGTAACATCTTTAATACGGACATTCTAAATGGATCTAAAAATTAACTGTTAATATTTTTATTGCATAAGCTTTTATTCACCGGTATCTTAAGATATTAACAATAAGTATCTCGATCGACAATATCTTAGGTACTTGTAACAGATAATATGTCATTTTTATATTCAATAAATATTCTATAGACCAATCTTGAAGGATATTGTAAAACGCGTAAATTATCCTATCGCCTGTAAAATCTTGTATGATAATGGATTATTTAATTCGTTAATTAATAAGCAATTAATCACTAATAGATCATGTAAAAAATATTCGTGACAAAAATTTAACGATACGTTGACTCACCTTTCATCGTGAACAAACTGTCCAATGGATCTTTTAACGATATATCTTTACCTCGCACTCGATAAATTGATAACTAATAATAGTGAGTAGGAAAGAACCTCTTTTATAGGCATGTAAAAGCTTATCATTCGATTAACTCGTTCGTTATCATTGATATCTTTAAAAAATAGTCTTTTGAAGCATGTTACAGACACATTCGCCATATCATTAATTTCTAAGAACTAATGAGCGTACAAGTGTAACGTTGCATTTTCTCGCATACAACAAAACGTTCTCATATCTTTTAAACAGTTTTTCCTCATTGTGAAAACGTTGATTTCTATTATCTTAACGGAATCTGCCATTATTGTATCAATTTTCAAACATTTTTCAATATTTTCAATCGAGGAAAACAACTAGTATTTTATAACAAAATGTATACATATATTGGAGAGATAGAAGAAAACAATTAATGAAATAATACTACAGAAATATCTCCTACGTAATCCAGAGAATTTTCTACGGAAGTATTGATAACGATAGTCATATCAATCGCAAATTCTATGTGGAATTAAACCCAATTTAGTTGCTATCATAATCGAAACTCAAATTCTTTTTACATAATTCATCGTACTTTGATCTTCTATATTATCAGTGATATAAATATTTCTAATACATTATCTATTAAAGTTATCATCACGAAAAATTTATATAATAATTTTTAAAATAATAATAAATAATAGTATTTTATTTAATATTTTAGCCATAACAATTACTGAAATAAGAGCAATTAATTATATTCCCAAGTAATGTAATATGTATTACTCTAAAAGGTATCTTTCATATAGCATGTAGAAAAGATGAAATTTGCTAAGCGTTATTTAGTAATTTCTTAAGTTTATACATTATTCGGCATTATTCGGTTTTATGATCTTAAAAACAATTAATCTTTATTATATATTATAATTAATCTTTACTATAAGGAAAAAAAAAAAAAAAAGAAAAAAAAAGTTTAATCTTTTGCAGCATATAATAATCACGTATTGATCATTGATAATATAGTAAACTATTAAACGAATGTAACATCGGTAATATATGTGTACGTTTTTACCTACCAAGCAATTTCAATCATAATAGATGGCACATTTTCATAATGCAATATTAATTACTCGTATAATCTTATTAAAATATTAATATTTATTTTCCTATATATTATCTACTAACTGCACTGATCTAAACTATAAATGAAAAATAGAGAAGATATCTAAAGTAAAAAGGAAGATTAAAGAAGGAAAATTCAATCAAGTTACATTATCGATGAAATTGATAATAACATTTAACAACGTTTCTGAAAAATCTACGAATTGAAACCATTGAATTGCAATAATTAGATACATTTGTTAAGTTGTAAGCAATTGGCAATTGCCGTCATTATGCATTATTTCTTAGAATTATTTCAATGCCGACATTTAGCACATTTGTTAAGAATGAGGTCTCCATTTTTGTATATATAATATTGGTCGCAGGAGATAGAATCGGTCGTGAGAATAAACCTTTCCATCGGATCCTGGAAATATACATCGGAATTATTGGCTCGTAGGATACATAGACATTGAACTCTTGCCACCCGCAGTCACTAGTACTAGTAATAATATAAACCGACTTATCGGTAGGACAGATAATAAAAAAGATCGACGTTACCGACTAATTACATTACCGACATTGGTTAAAATTAAGATACCGATGTTGAGGTGAAGATGGCGTTCGGAGCAATGGAGCGTATTGTAAAAATAACGATCCAATCGGAAGCGTGTAAACAATGGGTAAAGGGGCAATGATTGGCGGTGCTGTCGCCAAGTCGAGTGCGCTCAACGAATCAGAGGACTAGATTTGGCGACGTTGAGAAAATGGTCGCGATTCTCGACCGTAACCCCCCACTACCGAAGAAAAGCTGCGCGACCAGCGCTCGGTAGACTCAGCCATTTCTCTCGCGAAGCGTAGCAACGCGTTCGAGTTGGCGACGTGTGTTTTTTCAACGATAGAACGTGCGGGTATTCCCGGAAGTTTTGCAAAATAACGCGACGCAAAAGGATGATACACTCCGGGCGGACCAGGCTCGAGGTAAGTCGACGAGGCGGCCTGTCGTCGCTTCATTTCCGTGCTCTCTTCGAAAGTCAAAACGGCGCGTCGAAGCTGTGTGCCACCACGGGGGGGTCGTGTGCGTGTCCAATGTTGTCATTGCCGTCGCGAACAGCTGATTCGCTCCACTGGCCTTCGCGTAGCGCGACAGCCTCTATCATCGTCCTACCTCTCTTTCTCGACGTCGTTGTTGCTACGACCAGAGAGAGAGAGAGAGAGAGAGAGAGAGAGAGAGAGAGAGAGAGAGAGAGAGAGAGAGAGCCTAAAGTATGAGAGAGACGAATGGACGAGGAAAGGGAGAAGGAAAGGAATATTCTTTTAGTCCGTAGACTGAAGACAAACAAAAAAACGAGAGAGAGTGATATATATATATATATATATATGTATAAATAACTAATCACAAATGTTATACGAAAGTTCTGTTTTACGTTCGAAGCTTAATATTTGTTTTTTTCGTACGATTGATAAAATCCACGACAATGTTTTCTATATACAACTTTTTCTGTTTGTCTCTCTTCTAGAATCTCTCTTTCGGCCAACCGTGTTTGCGTTCTCGTGCATGCATCGACCGAACCGATCGGCCAAGTCCATCCTTTGTTCTCTTTCTCTCTCCCTCGCGCGCGCGTTTGCTCGGTCTCTCTCTGTCTCTCTTTCTCTTCTCTTCTCTTCTCTTTATACAGACACGTACATGTATATGTATAGGAGAATATGCATCTAGCAAATATATATGTTTGAACCTATATATGCTGCTGTATATATATATATATATCCATCTCTTTCTCTTTCATCGTTCTTCGTTATGTCGACGACACGACGTCTTCCTATTCATACCGTCGTATTACTAACGCGTTCATCTTTGCGTCTTCGTCGTCGTCGTCGTCGTCGTTGGCGGTGGCGGTGGCGACGGCATCGTCATCGTCATCGATGTCGTCGTCGTCGTCGTCTCGATGTATCCGCGTTTTAAACGTCTCCTCGACCCTTTGTTCCCTCCCCCCTCTTGTCGATTCACCCGCTCGCCACCCTCTTTCTTTGTCTTCACGTCGGACAGACTACCAATACACACGTCGGAACAAAAATTCCGACACCTTGCTCTCTACGTGCGTTGTATGCGCGCGCGTGTTGTTTTTTTTTTTTTTTTTTTTCTTTATCTCTTTCTTTCGTCCGAACGACGAGAAAGTGATGAGTACAACGATGAGTGCTACTCACGTTTGGATTCACTTCGATCCCCTTTTCTCACATGCCAACGATTAGAAAAATTATAAAAACGAATTCTAATGGGCGAATGTGTTCATCTTTTAAGTTATCTATTATCTCTTATCGACCACGTATTTTGCATCTTTTTCTCTTTCCTTTTTTTTGTTTATTCATTTGTTTATTTATTTGTTTATTTTATTCCTTTTTTTTTTCTTGTTATCAATTTTCTATCCCTCATTGTACAGCAATGCTCCTCACTTGTAAATCGCTTGAGTTATTCTTTTCTTGTTTATTTGTATTTTTTTCTATCTTCATTTAAATTAACCAGTTAATATAATTCTGAAAAGAGGATTAATAAGAAATAATCGATTAAAGTTGTGCAATTTTTAATCGAGCATTCCCCTCATTTATTGACATTAATCATCCATTTTGAGCATTTACATTTGTAATCAATAATCATTAATCTGTGAATAACAGTAATTGTGAAATGAAAGATTACTCCTATCTTTATTGGAGTCGTCCCAATAAAATAATATGATTTATGGCCATGACAATGCCAATGGCGGAGCCGATGATGTACTCCGAAGCAGTAATACCATTCATACATACATACACACATATATATATATATATGCTTTAAAACATTTAAATTATCGTAAGTAAACGTTTGAAATTAGCTTTTAATTATCAAATGATGTTACAAAGTTAAATCAAATTTTCACGAGCATACCTTTCGTTTTTATTATTGTTCTAAAAATTGATTATTCAATCGCAGATTTTAAGAAATAAAAAAATAATCTCATTCCTCATCCTCTTTTTAAATTAATTTTATACATACCATTCTTCTACCCCTCTTTCTAGCATTATATTTTTTAATATTTTTCTCGTGACCGCGTGATCAATGCATAATCATACGAACCTTATTTTTACCTCGCGCTAAGATAATTTAAGACGCGAATTTCTACACTGAAATAAATCGAAATAAATCGAACAGGTATAGAAACAGAGAGAGAGAGAGAGAGAGAGAGAGAGAGAGAGAGAGAGAGAGAGAGAGAGAGAGAGAGAGAGAATAAGATAGCTGAGTGGCTGGCCGGAGCGCGCGAAATACATAACTGCGTGCGTTTACTTTAGACTTTGTTATCGTGATAATTATCGTACATCGGTATTTTAAATTTTATCTATCTTTCTTTTCTTCTCTTTCTCTCGTACGTCAGAAAGAAATTTTGCATTTTTCCGTTTAATTTGAAAGACGTAGAAAGATAATCGAGACGAGTCAGATATATTACAATAATCAATCATTTTTATGATAGATAATGTAATGTTGATGGAAAAAAAAAAACAATAATTGCAGGTAACATTGACATTAGTCATTTATCAGCAATCACGAAGTGAAACGTTACCGCAATCTTTATTAAAGTCGTTGCAACAAAGTTAGATTACGTCTTATGATTATATGTCTAATGGAATCAATGAATGTACTCAGCAATGATACGGAGTTGTACGTCGCGAATGCATATACATTAATGAATTATCAGATGATAGGCCTAACACGAAATCTTTATCATATTTAATTTCTACGCTAAACGATCGTTTCCAATTCTTCATATATAATTAATTAATATCCGTATATCGATGTATTTATTTTCTCAAATTCTTTTCAATTAATAATACATCTATAAGAAAGGATAAAACGTTAATAGGTTTATACGAACAAAAAAAGAAAAAAAAAAAAAAAATAATATAAAATAACACGTAATAGAATATTTTTTATCGAACACAAAGAATTAGTTTATTCAAGGAGGTACAAATTACATTGTAATTTTCGTCTTGCACTACTTATTTAAGTATTAAGAAAACGTAAAAACTTGTCGTCCGTCCTCATCTAAAAAGGATCCACCGAGCTTAACGTGTCTTTCGTTGAGATTTGACTGTGTTACACGATAACAACGTAAAGAGGAGCTTCGGATTAGGAAAGTCCGATTCGTATAAAACTGAGTCAGCATTGGGAAGGTCGTTTTAAAATTACTACTACCAACCTTTATCGTCGAAGTGCATTGTCTTTGGCGGCCGTCTTTAAAGAAATCCTTCAAATTCTTTACAATTTCATTTCCTACTTCATCGGAATCGTTTGCCTTGCATGCGATTTCTCGTCTACAAAGTACAAAGATAGAAGGAAAGATACGAGATATAAAGTTTGAAGTATTCTTCTCGATATCTTTTTTTCTTCTTCTCTTTTTGTTCTATTATTATTTTTATTATTATTATTATTATTATTATTATTATTATTATTATTTTTATTTTTATTATTATTATTATTATTATTATTATTATTATTATTATTATTATTATTAGAGAGAAGAAACAATCGAAAAGAAACAAATTGATGGGGGCGAAGAAAAAAGAGATTAGCTTTAGTTAACTTTGTTGATTTTCTCTATCTTCCTTTCCTTTTTTCTTTTTTTATTTTCTTATCTTTCTTTTCTCCCCCACAAATCGATGAACGATCGAGAGCAATACTTTGTGCCCCTGTGTGATGGGCAATCCCTTACATTTGTTTAATCTACATTTAAAATTTCCCTGATCATTTTACTGTGAGAATAGATCTCAATATTTATCGCTCGCGATTCCGAGTCTTCTTGAAAATACGCGTTATCCAAAATACTTCGCCGTTGTCGTATCGCCGAACATAATATTTATCTTTCCCCGATTAATATACATACATGCGTCGTTCGAATTTCTAAGAGGTCTTTAAGCGTGATTAATGAGGTGATTTAAAAGATAATTCTCTCTTTCGGATAAACGTTTACGTTTCTTTCTTGTTTTCTTCGTTGTTTCATATAAGGTACGACGCATGCAGTAAGTAAATATTGAAAGAAAGAATGTGAACGATAATGCAAATGATTCTATACAGTTGTTTCTTTCTTTTAGAAGTGATTATAAATTTGTTTTAAGTTGAGGAGAATAATAAAAACGCAAAAAAACATAGCAATTGTCAGTCAATTAGAATAAAAGATATCTTTTTTCTTTTTTTTTCTTTCATCTTTACTCGCTACAATGTTACGTGCTTACGAGAGATTCATAAAAAAAGAATATATCTAGCTTAAAAGTTAATCGTCTTTATAAAGAAACGTAGTCGAGCAAAACATCCTAGTTATCGTCGAGTCGTCGTCATCGTCGTCGTCGTCGTCGTCGTCGTCGTCGTCGTCGTCGTTATCACTTGAAATGAATCGCAAGAAAAAGTAATATAGTTGTGAAGACACAGCCATTTTGAACTGTCATCAGGGGAGTACATATCAATGGGAAGAAAATTGTGGATGGGCTCATACACGTGAAGAGAATATCAGAAAGCATGACATCACCGACGATACATTGGAATGTGTTTTAGAAAAAAGTAATTCGAGTGGGAGTGGGAGTAGGAGGAGGGGGTCAGGTTGGCCAAGGTGTTCAACCGGTCGACGAGTCTGGAACCGGAAGTCAATGGTGGAGACAGCAGCATCCATCCTATCATTATCACCATTATCATCATCAGGGTGGTTATTGCACATCGCATGCTCACAACAACCCTGTCACTACCATGAAGCAATCCTACGTGCAGGTTGGTCTTTCATTCTAATGTCCGTTGTTTTTTTCTCTTCTTCGCTCGTATTAAGCTTCATCGTTAATGTCCTATCATTGCCCGCTTAACATTATATCGTACGTTCGTCGATGGGCTGTCAGTTGCGCGTCTACATGATCTTTCTTTATATTCTCTATCTCTATCTCTCTCTCCCCCCCCCCCCCCTTTTTTTTATTCGAACGATCTTCTTTTTTTGCAGCTAACGTGGGTATTTCATGACGACGAGGCGCAGATTAACAAGAAACTGCCAAAGGAATTGTTATTAAGGTAATGGTAGTATATGATGACGTTATCTCTTAATGTCATTTTGAAAGCAATAATATCGATCGATGTAATTTCAGGATTCTCTCGTATCTCGATGTGATATCCTTATGTCGATGTGCCCAAGTAAGTAAGGCATGGAACATATTAGCCCTCGATGGTTCCAACTGGCAAAGGATCGACCTTTTCGATTTTCAACGAGACGTAAAGGTACATAAATCGTTATAAAAGATTTTCTTCTAAGGATTGAAATTTCGATAAAATGCCCGCACACGATAATTTTCTTCTATACAGGAAGAAGTAATAAAGAACATCTCTGTACGTTGTGGTGGATTCCTTAGACAATTGTCTCTGAGAGGATGCCAAAGTATTGAGGACATATCCATGCAAGAATTAGCTAGTTCTTGTTGCAACATCGAGGAACTTAATCTGAGTCAGTGTAAGAAAATCTCGGATGCAACTTGTGCGGCCCTTAGTAGATATTGTCAAAAGCTTCAGCGATTAAATT